TCAGGGTTCAGGGTTTAGGGTTCTAGTGGTGTGGGGTTAGAGTCTTCTGTCATCATTCTTCCGAATGCTGCTACGATTCCGCCGCTGTGTTCCATAGTTAGTCTGCCGTGGGGAGCACAGCGCCACCCTACCGCCGCATGCACTCTGCGACACGCTTGTCCTAAACACGATATAACTTTGGGCTATGAGTAACCCCCCTAAGTAAACCGTGCAGTAACCCTTATACTGCCCAAAGTTCCTAAGCTTGCCGCCTTTTCGAGTCTCAATCCCAGACCTTGCCCCTAACGACGAATCCCCGAGAGACAAGCATATTGGCTCGTGCGAAGGAACTTGGTTTCACTATTCAATTTAAACTTGCTGAACAAATGCAACCTTCAGACACGTGAACCTTAATGAAACCCTATAAAACGCTATCTCTCCCCGCCTTTTCAAAGAAGTCGCTCTCAACGCAAGACGTCTTCCAGGAGGAGGCGGCGGGCGCTGCATGCGACCTTCCCACGAACATCAAGGCCCGGCGACCCCAAACAAACGGGTTTAGGGTTTAGGGTGAATGTGCTTTCGTAACTCCACGGCTATGCAATCCCTTCAGACAGGGCTAGAAGTCGGTAGCAGTTAGTTTTGTTGGTAAGCTGAAGACCTTACACTTGTCGCGCTTGTCTAACCTGCTTCAAAGGGTCAAGTCTTAAGATTAGTAGGTTCATTAACTAGCTGGGCAGCCGAGATTTGCTTTGTCATGAACGATGTCACAAGTGATGGACCCCTGCCGAATCTGAGCAAGATCTTCTCAATACCCTAAACCCTAAACCCCTAACCCTTAAACCCTAAACCCTAAGCCATATGAATCTTGAAGCCACGGTGCTTCTAAGCGGCAGGTCGCCCGACATGATACACCCAGCATGCCCCAAAGTTTAAGCCCCCAGCCCCCAAATCCCTAACCCCCGGGACTGCAAAATCCAATTCCAGCATCCTTCCCCTTCAGGCGAAAATCCCAATCCCCAGACTTGACCCTCGATACCCAAACCCTAAACCCTAAACCCTAAACCCCTAAACCCCTAAACTCCTAAACCCTAAACCCCTAAACCCCTAAACTCCTAAACCCGAAACCCGGCACCCCTAAACTCTAAACTCCTAAACTCTAAAACCCTAAGCCCGAAACCCGGAACCC